CGTTAAATATCCATATATCAACATCATTCTAGATATTTCACGAATGAACCAAACAGTATTCAAAAGATTGTTTTAAAAAGAAACAGTGTCAGCTTAAAATAACTCTCAGTCGTTTTTGATAAATGGTATTTGATGTCTTACTCTCATACCATATTTTCTTAAAAATGATATTCTTAAAAAAGTTGTACATGTGTTATAATTGTATTTCTTAAATAACATAGATTCTTAATGTTATTATAGAAAAAGTTGTTAACTAGTTTATCCAAGATCCTGGACGTTAGATCTCTCTAAAATTGCTATTAATATTACTGTACTATAGCTCAGATTAGGATTTTCTCAGGTTTAGTTATAATTCATCAAAAAATTATTAAAATAGTTTTGAAATATTTATAACGTTAACAAGCGCAAGCTTTATAATGGTTGTAATTTTATCATTTTGTTATATTTGCAAAATTTATTTTAAAATAATATTATAATTATCGTTCATACTGATTCATTATTACAAACATTGACTTTAGACCTTTAAAATAAAACGTGTGACAATTATTAGTTGAACTGATACGAAAATCAAAAGAAAAGTTTAAAGTCTTAAATAGATTAATTACGATTTTGGAGTATATTTTAATGCGTCATCAGTAATTAAAAACTGGTGCTCGCATTTTTGTAATTTCCCTTCATCGTTATGAAAAATGATCATCGTCATTAAAACGTTATTGAAATCCGACGCTAAATTGTGTTTATATATTTCAGCTAAAGATGTGAAATAATGTGCTATCAGAATATTGAACATTTAAATTTTTCGTTTCCAGACATGTGCTAACCTTTTCTTCTATCTATAACTGGATGGGAAACAAAATTTCACTTTTTGTGTATTAAATTTTTGAATATACATAATTATTTGCTCGCCGGAACTGACATCACAGAACATTTAGAAAAATGGGGGAAAATAGAAAAAAATTTATGACAGTCATTAAATTAAAATGATACTTGACTTGCGATGTGGCTATCTCTTGTTGACAGTAAAACATAACTGAAAAAATCTTGAGATGCTTTTGTTTTGTTTTTGTTTTAAGTTCAAAATATATAAAGCAAAGTCATATCAAAATGAAAAAAAAATGCCAAGACAATATTTTTACAAACAGACCAAAAGACGGAAAACGTTTCGTTTAAACAAGGGTAGAATAATTGGAGAAATTGACCATGCATGGAAACGGAGAGAAAATTGACAACGATAGATCAAAGGTCGGCATTTTGATTAATTAGTGGCCTAACAGATGACTTCTCTTTCTGTCAATATTTATTTATCATCCATCTTCGAAACCATTTTCTTATACATTGATGATAATAATAGTTTCACTTACAATTAAGTTTAATTCGTTGCTAGGACCTTTCTGGTTTTTTGCACTTATTTTAGTACAGAAAGGCGAAAAAAGCATAGAACTTCTTTTATTGGAATTTCTTTCTTATCTGCAAAGACAATTATTCATACGATGGTAGGTATAAGTGATTTTTGTGGTAACAAAGACGTTTGATGCTCCGAAGAAAGTATATCAGGCTTGGGGTTATTCAAAGTTCAACAATTCAAATACAATAGTGTTTACTCACTCAAAGTATCTAAAAATAATAAATTACCTGTTATTGAATTACCATTAACAACACAAACACCAATGGCCTGATTCATTTAATACTTGCCTATTAATTGTCTTTTCAACTATTTTCAAATATTCTTATACTGTGTCGTCGATAACATGATGCGTTAGATACATTTGAAATAGATAAAAAGCCAACCCAGCAAACATTTTATATCGGTCCAATATCAGCCCGATATCAGTTGTTATGTCGGCCCGATATCGATTTCTTATATCGGACAGATGTCGGATGTGCAACCCGGCTACAAGTCGGGCCGATATCGGCTGTATATCATTAGATCGATTTGAAGCCGGTGTCATACCGACATAAATTAACCTTTAATTTTTCTTCTAATAAAACATTTAACTTTGATTTTTTCATTCCAATAAACAAAAAAACACAATTGAGCTTAAATATAAGCTTTTTATTTTCATTTGGCAAATATACATGTATATCATAGAATCAATATTTTTTATTAACAAATGTATGTTAATTGTGTACAGCAGTTAACATCACAGTCAAAAGAAAATTTAACAAAGATTGGAAACAAGAGCTGTCACAGGAGACAGCCAAGCTCGACTAATAAAATACTGGACGCAGTAAGGAGGACAAAACTATGAAAGAAAAATCAATTATGTATAATTATGTATTAATTAAGTTATAGTAAAAAAATAACATTTGTTAAAATAAATTCCAAGATCAAGGGAAATAATTCCAGGAATAGTCACGCTAGAGTTATGAACCTTGTCACACAACATGTATGTAATGATAAGAAGTATATATTTGAAGTTTGAAGTAGATACCTTAAAAAGTAACAAAGTTACTTAAAGAAAATCCTAAGTTCAAAGAGAGATAAATCTGTAAAAATTACTTCAAGAGTTATGAACATTGTCACATAAAATATAATTGATTATAAGGAATAAGTATTTGAAGTTTGAGGTAGATACCTTTAAAACTAAAAAAGTTATAGTAAAAAATAACATTTTTCTAGTAAAAAAATCTAAGTTGATGGGGAGATAATTCTTGCAACATTAGTGCTAGAGTTATGAACCTTGTCACATAAGATGTGGATGATGATAAGGTACATTTATTTGAAGTATGAAGTTGATCCCTTTAGAAATAAATAAGTTACAGTAAAAAATAATATTTTTTAAAGAAAATTCTAAGTTCAAGGGGAGGTAAATCTGAAAATATTGGTGCTAAAGTTATGAACCTTGTCACATAAGATGGGGATGATGATAAGGTACATATATTTGAAGTATACGGTTGATCCCTTAAGAAATAAAGAAGTAACAGTAAAAAATAGTATTTTTTAAGGAAAATTCTAAGTTCAAGGGGAGATAAATCTGAAAATATTGGTGCTAGAGTTATGAACCTTGTCACATAAGATGGGGATGATGATAAGGTACATATATTTGAAGTATGAGGTTTATCCCTTTAGAAATAAAGAAGTAACAGTAAAAAATTGTATTTTTTAAGGAAAATTCTAAGTTCAAGGGGAGATAAATCTGAAAATATTGGTGCTAGAGTTATGAACCTTGTCACATAAGATGTGGTTGATGATAAGGAACATATATTTTAAGTTTAAAGTTGATGCCTTTAGAAATGACAAAGTTATAGTGAAAAATATTTTACTGCACCAAAACTTTAAGTTTAATCTGAAATCTGGACGCGGACGCCGGGGCGAGTAGGACAGCTCTCCATATACTTCGTATAGTCGAGCTAAAAATATATTTGTATTTTTAACAATCCATTTTTCATCGTTTTGTTATAAAATTTGAGAAGTATGTGAGAAAAAGTGCACAACACCCCCCCCCCCAAAAAAAAAAAAAAAAAAAACAATATTAGTCTTCAATCTATGTTATTTAATGTTGTAATAGTTTTTTTAGTGTTTAAGGAAGTCTAATTGTATCATTAATCTATTAAATAGACATTTAAGTCCATTTCTTAAATGAAATCAAAAATTTCCTTTAAAATTCACAGACATTATACTGGTAATAGAATAACACTCATATTAATTTTGTTAATATATAATTATTGAAAGTAAATAAGAAAATAAATTGTCATGGTTACTGAATCTTTATAATGAAGACATAAAATTTAAGAAATCAAAATTTTAAAGAATATAATAGATTCACTCTTGAGAAAGTTCCCCACTGATGACATTATATCATTTTATCATACTATAACTAATATTCAGATTCCCACATTAAATAATATTTTTTGACTTTTACATTAGATTGCATTAATTGGTAAACAACTCCTTATGGCCATCTTCAATTGTTATTTCTGTTGATAAATAATATATATATTGTACAAACATCACTGTTAATTCTTTTCTCATGCTTCCATTTCTAAACAAATATACATCTTCACTTTAAATAAAAGCATACCTGACTAAAAAAAGATATAAAAGACTAGTAATAATTCAATTTAGTTCTGCTTCCTTGGTAAAACATTATAAACAAACAAATTAAAAATGCCAATAATAAAACTTAATATGTTCAAAAGCTACGATTTAAATTCCATTTAAAAACTGAGAATGAATCTACAACATTGCATTTGTATGGGTGTTTTTTTCTCTCTATACTTCAGCTATTATGCAATAATAGAAAAAAATAAATGAAACATATCAGCAATTATGCAGAATTATTAAAGAAAATAAATGTAAGAATAAAACAATGTAAAGAACAATGCAAAAAAATAAAGACTAGACTTGACTATACATTTGGCAAGGCATGGTAATAAAATGGATTTATAATATTTTTACAAAGCATATAACAAAAAAACAACCTATAATAATGAATAAAAAACAATAATTGAATTATAGATTCACAAATCGCAGGATTTAGTATTATAATTGTAAAAATTATTTGATTATCATGAAGCTATGACCATAATCTCAATATTTGATATGTGCGATTGAAATACTGAATGAGTAAAAACAATAACAATATGTACATTTTATATAAATCTTACACTCCTTGAGATTTTGTTTCTATAACAAAGAAGGATTTTAACGGCGTAAACTTCCAATAAGCACTGATTATGGACTACACAAATATGCCGCTGTTTTTTGTTCTCCCTCAATAAAATAGTTTTCAAATTCTTTTTACGGCAAAAATAATAACGCACTTTTTCTGATGTTTTCAGTTCACTTTTTTTCTTCTTTTCATATGATGCTAAAGTAACATCTCACATTCACCGACCCAACAGATTGATATAAGTTTTATAAGACAAATTGACGCGAACTCGTAAGCACCATAAAAACGTCATCCCAAGTATGCAGCTTGTTCATACAAGTGCCAGAATGGCGTCACTTTAAACTGGTCAGGGGCTGAAGAATCATTAATCCAGCAACGATGTAAACACAATATATATAATCCTGCCTGACACACAAGCTTAAACTGATTTTAAATAGCCGATGAACAACACAGAAACTGATATTGTTTCTTAAATATATCTCAATAATGTTTAGTTTAACTATATCACTATTTATGTATGATTTATTCTTCTTAGGCTATATGTTCTTGAACTATTAGGCTAGAATGATACAAGTCCTTTACATTACTTCCAAATTAAAAGAGCCATCTTTTTTCTTTCAATATCGCTATAAATATATTTAAAAGTTCTATTCAGTGGGTGTTTCTTGGACACCTTCATTGGTTTTTTGTCTTCTTTTACGGCCCCCGTCTCTGTCACATGCACTTCGAAACCATTCTCTACAATCTAATTCGACTTCAGCTGCTGTACATTTTTTACATTTCATGACTGCTTCTGTAAGTATAATTAAAAAAGAAAATAAGATCTACCTACTTATTTGTTCTGGCAGAACTTTATAGACACATGTAGTGGTAGACTATATACAATGTATACTCCTTAAATTTTTGTGATATACTTAATTAAAATATTAACTTCTCCATACATTCAAGTGTTCTAAACTGAATATTATGCTTTTATCAATTAACACATCAAGTTAAGGTATACATCATAAAAAATATTAACTTTATCCAAAATTTATATAATATTCTAACACAACCTGCATTTTCCTCTATTAAACACAGAAGGACCTGAAGTGTGTTATTATGCAATAAAATCACTGTATTTAAACATGTGACGAAACCATTTACAGATATGTGACATTAGCATTTAAAAATGTGAGGCGCTGAAAATGAGTATGGAAACAAATCAGACGCAGTGTACCTTAATACTAGGTACGGCAGTATTTATCTGTTGTTGTTTTAATCGAAATAATATATCCAAAAAAGTGATTTCACTGCATTATGAAATCGCTATGATATTCGAATACAATCATTATATCAATCAGGCTACTCCCTCCTGATATAATTCCTCGCATTTGAACTCCAAACATTTAATTAAGCAATAAAATCACAGTTTGGGATATATTATTTTTTATGAAATATCCTTTTCTATGCAGAGGTGAGAACATAGTGATATATTTTCTTCTTTTTAATAAAATATCTAAGTCAAATATGCAGGTTTCTTACTGTCTGTAACAACTATGTGTTTGGTTATCCATAAAATTTTAAATGAAAATAAAATAATTACTTTGCACTGCCTTGGCCAGCTTCAGTTTCCCAAACGCTCTCTTCCCTTTCTTGCCAAACCAGTTGAACTGAAGTGCCAACTGATTTGACATGCAGTGTTTCATGACTCTTTTTGACATATCGCTTCTTGTGATACCTCCTTGCAGTGTCAGGTATGTGACCTGAAATATTTTTTGTTCTAAACACATTTCTAACGTTTCAAAAAGCATTTGACACATAATTCACAGGAGTGTAATAAGGCCATTTATTTCATGCTTTTCCAGTGTTTCACTGTGATAGATAATATTTTGATAAACCACTACTGAAATTTATAATATATCATTTTCACTGTAGCCGGACTATATCTGAATGCAGATGAAAAGAATATAACTAAATGGAATAACAGGCCCAAAAAATGCCGTCATACGTAAATGTTCTTTCTTTAAGAAAAGAAAGTCGATGTCATCATTTATCATGTTAAAAGTGTAACAAAATTGGAGGATTTAACAGGACTAATCCGATTATATTTCAAAATTGATGATGTGACATCTTGATGATGTGACATCATGATGTTATGACTTCATAAAGGAGAATGCGCGACGTCAGGCAGCAAATCAGTAAAAAATATTTAAAATCATGAAAAAAGCATGAAATAAAAAGAAAATTTATTTGTTTTACATTATAAGATTGAAATATATTTCATTCGTGAACAATAGGTATTTTATTTTCATTCGTTGCAATGCATGCCATGAAATTAATATTGCATCTGGTGTTTCCTCAGTGAAATATTTTTCAATTTTACATGCAAAACAAACAGATATTCTCTATATAAGAAATACTATATTACACTAGTTATAATATAATGTCTACATATTACACTAGAGTAATAATATAATGTCTTTTGTGTTACAAACAAAAGCACACTAATGACAGGCCAAAAACTTTTAAGAACAGTATGACGGACAGAAAACTAGTGTGCAAAATTTTAGTGACATAAAAAAAGTTTAGCAAAAACACTTGTTTTCAAAAACAATAATAAATTCATTTCGTGCAAAGATAAAATTAACATCTTTCTAACTAATGAAAATAAATTTACCAAGCCATTGAAACAACCAGGTTCTTGTAAACCTGTCTCAACCAACTCCAGTTCTTCAATGCTTGTAACTGGTAAATGAATATCATCAGGCAATTCAGTTGGTCCACCACCATCTTGACTTTCCAACTTTGACACGACACCAAATACCCGATGAACAGTGTCCAATATTTGTGTCTGTTGTCGAGACATTTTTTCTAATAGGGTAAAAATGCGGATATCTCGTGCTAAAATACAAAAATATTATTTAATGAGAAACATAACTTTCAATATAAGTAAGCAAAAAAAGTAAAAAAAAACAAAACACTGATGCTGTTTTAGTATGGATAATGGAGACCTTGCAACGCATATCTTTTCGAACTTGAATTTTCTCTGTCAAAATGTAACTTTTAATTATTTTGTTTCAACAAAATTTAATGGCAAAGTCTTGCTTAAACTTAAGAACAAATTATTTCTTATTTATGTCAACAAGTTGCTAAGGTCCTATAGGTTTAAAAGAAATTATTACCAACCCAATTTAACGTGATCGCGAAATTGTATGACTATAAAATCAAAGCCATCTTGTCCATATATTTTTTATTTATTTTTCAAAATTTCAATAGCACTCAACCAGTATATCAATTATGTTAATGATATTTTATCAAAAAGGTATTAGAAAATGCTAAATTACCCAGCGATTGTAAATATTCGAACTTTTGTCCCTTGTTGAGTTTTGCGCCAAATGTAAGCGTGCCCGGATGTACGGTGCGTAGGTAACTATTTACCATTGTGCAAATTACGATAAATATCCGTTCAATGGTTAAACGCGTTAAAATTCGGAAATTTTTTCCCGGTTTCATGGTCCTGTATGCTAAAAAACGTTACCATGATAAAACTTAAATCATGTCAAACGAATATAAATCGGACCGATGTCGGACCTATATCAGTGAAATATGTCAATATCGGATAGACATCGGTCCGATATATGGTAGCCGACACAGATATTCCATCATATAGCCGATATCGGCCCGATATAGGTATGTTTGCTGGGAATAAGCCTGGCAGTGTGAACCCTATGTCTCATTTGCAAATACGTGAACACAACTGTCTTAAACTTAATGAGGGCATTGCGCTTATTGTTCATCGGCGTTTAAATTGACTGCATCGGATAAAATGATACCACTTAATGTGCATGATTTATTAGTATTTTCTATAGCACTTTTAAGTAAAATATTGAAATAATCTCTTGCATGTCTTTCTGTCTTATGTGACTCAGCTAATGTATGCAAGAAATTCAAACTTCTTATCTAATCACTTATTTTGATGCATCAGAGCAGTATTAAAATGTCATTTTCATTTGAAAAGCATCTTACATCTAATGCTATCATTAAAGAATGTAACATGTATAATTTCTTTGAACAAGTTGTTATATAGACCTCTCAAAGTTGTATTTATAAATTAGATACTTAGTACATAAACAACCTTAGTCATAACACAAGGGGGTAATTGCTATGCAAATTCATGGCAATAAGATGTTGTTGATGCTTTTTATGATAATAGAAATTGGATCTCTTGTTGGCTGTTAATATTATTTATTATCTTTTTCATTGTTTCTGAGAACAATAAGCATCAAAGCTACAAGACAATTTAACCCCGGAGAATACTATAGGACAACCTGATAGTAATTGTGAATCAATGGTTTTCTTTTATTGTCATGTTCTTTTTTGTTTATGTGACAACATTGAGTATTGACTTTTATACCAGTTTATATATATCCTATATTTTGTCACATCGTATTATATTTCATTATAATAACCAATTATTGCATGAGGTGTATATCCAAGGCTATGGAATCGGCTTATGTGATATTCATCGAGGCCGATAAATCAGCGTCCGGACAGCACAATTAGGTTCATTTATAGATTATTTGAACAAAAAAGGAACGAAATTATTTTCAAAATAATAAATAAAATTATTATATTATAAGCTTTTAAACAATTTTTTGATGAAATGTTGTTATAAACATATTATTATCTATTGCTTTTTTTTCACTCAATTTCATTAAAAATAAGAAGAAACCAATAGTTACTTTTATTTAATATTACTACGACACCAGCTAATTGTGAAAACACATAGTTACGCTTCGTATATTTCACAACGTATCTAAGGTATCCATTTCTATATGGCTTACTCAATTTGTTATTGTCCAATTTGTTCTGTATCTCTGAAAAGTAGACAGTGTTGTAATTTTCTGCCTCAAGAATGGAGAAATGAACGCCTCTAATTATACTGACACACGATAATTCATATTACGTAAAATATGAGAGCTTAAATAGAAATGTCTTGCATGTTTCAAAATTAAATTCTCTAAGAATGTATTTAAAACAAATTGTCTTGAATAACAAGCTCAGCTAAAAGGATTCACTTGTAGGTCGAAGAAAACAGCACTGATAATATATAAATACCATGATATTTGATTTCATTTAGGTAATTGAGAGCAATTACCATAAAATGCATGAACTTTAATGCAACAAACACATTTTGAAAATAAAAATATCTTTATTTTGGAATTGATCACAGCAGGAAAAAAGAACATTCTGTTTGAGTGAACACAATATAAGTTTTGGACTGAGGCTTGAAATTTGCTTTGAAAGATAACATTTACCTGTCTTTGCATTAAATTCCATTTAATAATTACGATAGTGTTTTACTGATAAGCTGCATTTATTTCGTTACATGCACTATATGACTTGATAGGCATACAAACATTTAAATTTGTTTTATTTATAACCTCTTCAATAAGCAATATAACCGTAGTTTCAAACCTTAATCATAGCTTGGGTGATTTGAAATCTGTCTTGGCCTTTAAACAAAGCAATTTATATTTTTTTTTAAATGCAAAAACTTAGTAATACACAATTTCAAAATCATGGTAACATACATACTATACTGACAATTATACAAAATCACCTAACGCTATTTTATTTCTTAATGCAATGCGCACGCTTCGATTGTGTAGATTTTTAAAGGAAAATGTATTCATTGTATAAATGTCTCATAACGCATGAATATTAGAGAAACAAATCGCAACTTTATTTTAATATGAGCGTTAATTATGTATTTTATCGCTTTGGAAACATATATGAAATATTACAACAAATGCTAAGTACAGTCACGCAGAAACAATTACTATTTTGTATAACGTATTTACATAATCATAATGGTAGATAGTGCTGTGGTAACGTAAAAAGTAGCTAAATAAAGGTGTAAAGTATAGTGTATAGTGTTGTTTTGATAGTATATAGTTATCTCCAAACATCAGGCGTTGAAAACCGTATATCTTAATATATCTAAAGTTTCGTTTTTGTACTTTAGAAATTGTGCATTGATAAAGAACTTTTTTCAAAACTCGATCCATATAATGTTGTTTACATCTATATAAATATTAACAAATACTATAATGAAAAAAAATTGCCTTTTTATATATCTATATTTCATATTTGATTCCAAGTCAAAACACTATGATAACGGACCATTTATTGCATACAAGTTTGATAAATGAGAATAAAGATAACTACTATATATACTAGATGAACGGAGCATTGTCTGAAATTGCAAACGTCCATCTGAGCTTTACCTTCTGTACATAGGATTATAAAATCAGATACGGTGACATCTGGTCATTCATATTTTGATTTAATATCGAAATAAAAATGATATTTATATAAATCAACACCTACAATAACTATATATGTAATACTGAAATGAAACTGTTCTTTGCAAATCAAGACAAAACGGGGTTTTGCTTACATCACTGTTATATTATATTTGATTAGTTAGCAATAAGCGCGACAAAAAGAAAATTTAGATTTACTGATACAGATAAAATCTTACTATTTTTTCAGCGCTTTAGAAAAACATAATTATCTAATTTTGTTATCTGTTCCGAAATAGAGACGCATCATTACTAACGAGCATATGTTATGTTATCTGTATTTGTCTCTTTAAGAACAATCTGTATTCCAAAACAACAATTATTATAGTTTTACCAACGATTTATTGTGTAGATGATTGAAAACTATCTTAGTCTATAAAGCAATTATAGTACTTTATTTGGTTGTCAATATAATTGTTCTTATCAGTTTTGTTCATTCAATAGTATTTTCATATCAATGTGGTGACAAAATACTATATTTGTAACTGAAAATGTTAAGGAAATACATATCGTTCTATTATTTATTTCATTTGCTTTAATTTAATATAATCATTTATTTCATGAACATCATGTTTATATAGAAAGGTGATCATTTATAATAATCTTTCACATTTTTTTTATCATCAACGTGTATGTTTGTAAATTAGGATTTACCTTAACATCTATTTAGTTTACATCTATTTGACATCAAAATTTATTTGCCATGCATAAATCAAATACCATATACATATAAGTAAACTTGTTTAAAGCAAAATAATTTCAGTTGAATAACAATCAACCGTATATAAAATAATCTATGCGATCCATGAGGCATTTTGCAAATCTAAGGAAAATATGAGGAAGCTGATATTTTATTAAAAAGATAAGGCCGAATAATTACTATGGGCCATTGTTAATCTCGTTGAATAATTATTTCCTAAAGCTATTTGATACATTTAAAAATGGAAAATCTCATAAAATAAAAGTGCGCTGTTAATTTCAACAGTAGGTATGCATAGAATAATACGAGCTTTGTAATGATATTTTTTTTACAATTTGGTTTGTATTCTGTATCTCAATAGATATATGATAAAACATTCTCAAATCACAACGAGGACGAAAGTAACAAATCAGAGACATTATGTCTTTGTAAACCTCCTCCTCTCATTTTTTACTTTCGATGTTTTAAATAATTTTCATACATGTTTACTTAATATAATAATCATCAATATGTAAGTTTTCTATGGATAAATACCTATACCAAATCCTTCAGTATAATTATATTTAAAAAATGTAATATTGCAGTCTGACCACAATAAATACTGTACTGACTTCTTGTTTTCCGCATTATATCAAATCAAATGAAAATTATGCGCTAGACTGTAACGTATTAACTATTTATTTCGAAACTGTTATTTTCAATGAACATGCCACCATTGTTAGGAAATGGGTTATAATGAAAACTTCCTAATAAATGTATAATTGATGTCACTTGTATTTTTTGCAATGCCGTTTGTCTGTCAAGTTTAGAACATTATAAAATATATCGGTGAAAGCGGCACACACCAAAACATATAACGTCAACGTCAGAAAACAAATGTTTTGTAACTGTTCTCGAAATAAATAGACATAAATAAATATCCGGTATAATTATTGCCATTAGCACTTTTCTGACACTGACGTACCTATGTATGTCAGTTCCCAAAGGAAAGTTACAGTTTTCCTTACAATTGTGAAAATCACTACATCTACGTAGATAATTACATGTTGAATGTCTTTTTACAAAAGCAGTATCGCATATATTACCACCCCTCAGACAATTTTCCTATAAATATTTAAGATGCTTCTGGACAAGAACGAGGCATTAATTGAATGTATTTCTTGCATGTATGGTGTTTTAAAGCGACAATTCGTAGACAAATTACAATCACCCTGTACAAACACAAATGAAATAAATTGTTTTGTGGTATTTTCCTTATTATGCAAAAAGATTTAAGGCTATACAATTATGTTACAAAACATTTACTATAATAGTGGTAATATCAATTTTAAAAACCGTTAGTGATACAGTGGTCAAATACTTGTGGGAATTAACTTGCTTTACAATTTGTTTCATAGATCTTAAAATGTTGTCTGTGTTCATGACATTGGATACATGTATTGCGCTTGTCAGTTATTGAATAAATGTCATTGTCTTTGGAATTCAATTAAGAATATCACCATATCGATAGTTGTTATCGAGTAATATTACAATACATATATGGTTCCTATGTATTGCTTAAAGTAGGTAACCGGAACTAAAATTGACTTTGAAATAAAACCTTTACCAACCTTAACATAAATTCTCTATAACTAGAGTTT